CCGAAATTAAAAAAAAAGTGCAAGCCAAATTTTAACCTCTTGACAATATTTCCTTTATTGCATATAAGTTTATAACTAAAAAGATTTGCTTGTGTTTGATTTGCAAAATGAATATATGTTATAAAATTGATGAATTGCTTACAAATCTTATCAAGGGAGTATTCTAGTGTAGAGGTATGAATTTTAGGTCATTTTTAAATCATCGTTAAAGGAAGGAATCAATTTTTATACTATCATTTTTAACTTCCCGTAGGGTAAGTTATAGTAATTGCATAAAAATCTAGAATGAAAATTTGTATGTCTCTACGTTTCAAAAGTTTCTGAATATTTTGGCATACCTTAGACAAAATTTTGGCAGATAAGATAAGAGTCGAATGCCAAAGATTCGTCATTCGCTCTCGATGATATCAATTCAATACGGGTCGATTGTGATTAGTCGTCGTGTATGTGAATAGAGATCTGTCGTTGTATGCGTACCGATATCAACAAGGAAATCGGCATAGATAAATAAACATTTTGAAGTTACATTGTAGTACAAATCTTGATTTAATGAAAAATGCCTGAATCAGAAGAATATTTTACCCTGTTTCCCATAAATAATTATAATGAAAATAATAAAACAAATGCAGCATTTGCGCCGTGTATGGAACATAAGTTTATTGAAATAATTCCTATGTTATTCGTAGTTTCTATATATCTTTGAAGTTATTGAAATGGAAAATATTTTTTAGGCAAAACAGATATTACAGCTGTTCAAAGAATGAGATCATATCGCCAGCGAAAAAGTAAAAAAAAATACAAGCAGTCAATGAATGTATGTTAATTTTAATTATATGAAGTTCTTCAAACACAATTATTACATGATGAGAGAAGTTGCGAAAACAATATTTATTTAGGCGTTGTTTAACATAATTCACTGTGTTAACGAAGTTATTAATCAGCAATTACTTCATTTCTCTAATGATTTAGTTCATTTCATTTCTAAATGAACTAATTACAATGACAAACCGATCATGTCATATTAGAACTTCGACTTTAATTACATTATTGGTTTTAAATATTATACATATCATCAAAAAGATGATAGTTAAAAAATTGATTGCCTTTTTTACAATGATTCAAAAATGACCTAAAATTCATGCCTCTACACTAGAGTACCATTGAATCTGCGACAATGTTGAAAAATAAAGTACACTTTTTATATTAACAAATGTACAATTTTAATGGAAGTGACTTACGTAGGAAACATGCATTAACGCTCCCAAACATCATTTATATAGGAACTTTGAAATTTTGTTTCAGATATCTCAAATGCTAATTAATCTGGTTCAAGAGGAATGGAGAAGTAGAGTGAATACATAAAATTCCAAATAAAAAATATGAAGAAAAAAGAAGAAACTCTACTGAGCATGATAATGAACAGGAAAGAAAATGTGAATCGGATCCATTCTACAAAAAAAATGTCTCCTACAGGACATTGTCGAAGGTAAAATAAAAAGACTGAAAGCATAAGGACAGGAGAATGCAGATGTACGCCCAAGACTATGGACCAGAAAGCATAAAAGTAGAAGTTTGTAGAAGTACATGCATGCAAGTTAATATTAGTAATGAAAATAGTGAATCATTGATTTGTGGTGCCGACTACTAATGTGATATTCCTTTTCCAAGCTTGAATTTAAAACCTTAAAAAACCGTCCACATAATAAATTCCAAATTAAAAACTTAAACAAAAACTAAAAATCTAATCATTATCAAAATCAATTATATATTATCTAGTTGTAATGGCATATCGAGATCTCTATCCCTTGGCTTCAGCACTGGCAAGATCCTAATCGGGTCACAGTCTGAAATAGAAGAAGTCATTGTAGAGAAAACCTTAAAATCGACCACCATTTCTGGCAGCTTTAAAAAAAAAACACTTTGTACAACAATATTTCTATTGTTGCACATAAAATAGTATCGCTTTCCGGCATAACCTAAGCTCAAGCAAATGTCATGAGCATTTTGGTTATAAAAGTGTAGGAAATGTTCTCATCGTAAAGGATCCATGGTAAAACATGGGCTGGAATATAAATTGCATGTTATATAAGCTTAATATAAGAAATATTGTGGGTTTTAGCCACACCTAACCTTTGACATTATGACTACATATACTTATAAATACAATTATATGTATTTATAAAGGTTTTTGGTAACACTTACATCATTCAGGTGTTGTATTTTTATATTTATATATTTTCTTTGAGTAATTATAACACTTTGTTTACTAAACACACAGATTTTTAGCATAAATATAAACAATGCGCGTAACAAGTTACAAGATGGACGACATCTTGGATTTACAATCAGCTTCCATTTTTGTGTTCGCTTTTCGCCGTAAGATGGCGACATTGGTATAGAAAAAACGACTAATTTAAAATTTTCTCGACGTTCTAGTCATTCTGAATCGTTTGAGACTAAATTTAGTAAAAGTATGTGTGTAATAAAATTTTGTATGACGATGCAGTTTATGGTTTGAATAAGTAAATGATCTTTAAATTTTTTTTTAAATAGCATTTTTATTTAACAAACTACGATTTACTTATATCTTATATATAAAATTCTTCTGTAATGGTGTATGAAAGGTAAATCCTTCTAAACGATTATTCGGATTTTCATAAATCTTCCTGAAGTTTGTTAAGGAAATGTTCTAGGATTTTTTGATTCATAGAAATATAGTTAGATTGTAGGAATAAATGGATAAAAATTACAAAAAACCGCAAAAAATTCAATGGAGCGTTTTGTGTCAGAATTTTTTTACTGTGCTCCAATTTGCATGAAATTTTGGAATTAGGTTCATCTTACTCTCAAGTTCAAAAGTGAAAATAATTCAAACTCTTTTATCTTTACCGCGAATGCTATTCGATTTGGAGTGAGCTTAAATGTGGACGACACTATGGATTTATGAAAATTTGCTTTTAGAAAATACTCCAAGTTAACGTTCACTCGGAATGCTTTCAATAACTCATAAATTAATTTATTTTTTATTGATTAAGTCGATTATTTTCACATATCGGAAAGTTTATATAACTTGCCTCAAGGCAAAATACAAATAGTTATATATTTATCTACCAACTAGTTATATTTTAAAGTCCTCGTTCTCATTTTAGAGCCTTTAATTTTATTTTAGTATATATGTTTTTATTTGAGTTCTCATTCTTATTTTAAAGTCTTTATTTTCATATGAGAGTTCTGATTATCATTTTAGTCCTAATTTTTATTTTAAAGTAATCAAATTGATTTTATTTTAAAATCCTCATTCTCGTTTTAGAGTCTTTATATCTATTTTAAAATATATGTTTTTATTTCAGAGTTCTTTATTCTTATTTTAGAGTCTTTATTTTCATTTGAGAGTCCTGATTCTTATTTTAGTCTTAATTTTTATTTTAAAGTAATCATATTTATTTTATTTTAAGTTTTAGAGCCTTTATATCTATTTTAGAACATATGTTTTTATTTCAGTTTCTTATTTTTATTTGAAAGTCCTGATTCTTATTTTAGACTTGATTTTTATTTTAAAGTAATCATATTTATTTTCAAACCCTCATTCTCCTTTTAGAGCCTTTATATCTATTTTAGAATATATAAGGTTGTCAAATATCTTCCTTCCGCCTTTTTGTATTATAAACCAAGAGCAAAAAAGCGGATATTTGACAACCTAATATGTTTTTATTTCAAAGTCCTCAGTCTTATTTTAAAGTCTTTATTTTCATTTGAGAGTCCTGAATCTTATTTTAGTCTTAATTTTTATTTTAAAGTAATCATATTTATTTTATTTTAAAATCTTCATTCTCGTTTTAGAGCTTTTTTATCTATTTTAGAACATATATTTTTAATTCAGGGTCCTCATACTTATTTTAAAGCTTTCAAGTTTATTTGAAATTCTTCATTTTTATATTAGGGTCTTTAATTTTATTTGAGAACCCTTATTCTTAGTTTAGAATCCTTATATTCATTTTTACTTTGAAATCCTTATTCTCTAATTATAGCCTTTAAATCTACTTTAATATACATATTTTTATTTCATTCTTATGTTAAAATCTTTAATTTTATTTGAGAGTCCTCATTCTTAATTTAGAGTCTTTGATTTTATTTGAGGGCCTTCAATCTTATTTTAAAGTTTTTATATTTATTAGTTCTCATATTTATTTTATTTAGCGATCCTCATTCTCATTTTAAAGCCTTCTTATCTATTTAAAAAAATATTAATTTTTATTTCTCAGTCTTTTTTGAGAGTATTTTTCTCCCTAAAGTCTTCATTCTTATTTTAGAATATTTATTTTTATTTTACAGTCTATTTAAAAATATTTGTTTTTATTCTGGAGTCCTCATTTTCATTAAAATATTTGTTTCTATGCCAAGGTGTTCATTTTTATTTTAAGGTATTTACTCTTATCTTGGGGTGGTTATAAAATAAGAATGAATATATACATTTTTTCTAATAAAAGCCAAGAAATGCGTTTGCTATTTGCAATTTATTGTCGTTTTGATATCACAGTTATCAAATACATAAACGCAATTTTTTAACAATATCTTAATAGTCTATAACAAAAACTTAAAATATAAAATAAATCATTCTAAATTCCACTTAAACTAATAAGAAAAATCTATATCAGCAATTTGATAATAAATATTTTTTCAGATAAAATTCTAAATTATTTTAGAGTTTGAAAAAAATATGCTTTAATTTTAATATTACACAAAAATTGTTTTTACTCTTGAATACAAATTTGGTTTTTCAAATTAATGATGCTTATGAAATTTTAATTTTCACTATTACTATATACATAACATTTACCATAAAATTAATATAAATTCAAATAGTATTCTATTTTTATTTGATCTTTTTAAAAATTACAAACAAATAGTATTTTTATAATCATTCACTATATCCTTGGTTTAGGGCTTTTTTTGTGGAAGCTGATGTCATGGTTTTAAGCTTGAATACTTTTTCTTCGTGATGTTTTTAAAGGGTTGTTGAATATTCTGGTTTAAAATTTTAAAACTTTTTTAGTTTTGCTCTGTTTTTTCGCTATTTTAGTATGGACGTGCAATTGGTATGATTTCGCTTTGTCCTGGACAGGCGTTGTGCATTCTGAAAAAAAGATAAAATGATAAAAAATTTAAAGCAAAAAAACTGTAAAAAGTTTCTAATATACATTTTTATTACTTAATAAGCTTTATAATATTTTAAATAATTTATACTAATTGATTTTATCACAATAGACGTTAATTTTGAATATTAGTTATATACTTGAATGAAACGTTCTTCAGCGAAACGTCTTTTGTATAAATTTTCTTCAAAATGATAATGGGGTATATGGCAATTTATTAGTGATAATATAAACACATTTATGAAAAACATTATTTTTTGTCTAAATAAAATCTTATGAGTGTTATGAATCAAATCTTATACATTACTTATAAATTCAAATTCATTCTAAAACTTCTTCCATCGAATCATCTTGACACACACACACACATCCAGATCCACTTCACCAATGAGAAAGGAAACTGACTTGTTCATTCCTTATGGAAAAAATGTGTTAATAATAATAATCATCAATTATCAGTTATTTGTTTACAATGTCGATGTGCCTAAAACTAAACGCCAAATGCAAAGGTGATAAAGGACAAATTTGTTAGAGGGTTTTAATTAATGAAGAATTCTCATTTGTATTTTCCGGATATAGCACTACTATTGCTTTCGTGGATATACTTATAAATCCATATTTGTGAACAGTCTACTTTTTCTACAAAGTCATCGGTAAAAAGATCTCAAACCAAACACTATAAAACTTACGAGTTGGTGAGAACTTTTCATCTATGATAAGAGGATTTTATCTATTACATCAATAATGGTTAACAAAATGTGATGATTTATTTTCTCTTTTTTACCTGTAATCAATATAAATCAGTCCAGAGTTGTGCCAGTAGTAAAGTGCCAAAACAACAAAGATGTGCCACCACTGATGAGAATGTCCCAAATAATCGACACGACCAGAAAACCAACGCTCTGGTATCCTGGTCAGGTAGATCAGGAAAGCCAATCCAGATATCAGGTACATGCCGAGCACACGTGGTAACAGCAACTAAAAAGAGAAAAAAAAACTATAGTACTAGTGGTTTATGGCATTGTGCCTTAAGGCAAATTGCTGAAACTTCCTGTACCGTAATAAAATATTCGAAAATTTTTAAACGTTTACAAATATATTATTACAAATACTGTAACTTTCATTATTTTGCTATCTTGATATATCTGAGCAAATCAAATGTAACTCATAAATCTATATATCTCCTGAACATTAACAATCGTCATTTCATTTCGAATTCAAATTCAAAAAAATAGTTACCTAATTTACACAAAATTGAAAAAGTGCTCCCAGTATCGTCACAGTCTAAACGCATTTGCAAATAATTCTGTGCGACATTTTTACTTATACTGTGCTTAGGTTGGCGGCATTTTCACATTTTTCAAAGTGCGTTTTACTCACTTGGATAAACATTTATACCAGAGTGGCGCTTAGACTGTGCTTAGCCTGGGTAATTTTCTGTATTTTTAATCCAAAATTACAAAAATATTATATTTTTTTTATCCTCAAAAGCAATTGTTTTGTCAATACAAGCAGAAAGTTTTTTAGATCATTCAAATCGGACGCTTAGTTCACTCAAAAACTGCCATTTTTTGCACATTTAGCTCTGTATCTTCGAAATGGCGGGACCTGTCTTTGACAAAAACTAATCATCTCTTCTCCCAATCATTACAAATTGAATGTTTTTTAGATCATTCAAATCCGATACTCCGTTATCTCAAAAACTCGATTTGTATTTTCTGCACTCTTTGCTCCGTATCTTTGTAACGGCTGAACCTGCCTTTGCCAAAAACTAATCAGCACATCTTCCTATAAATAGGGATCGAATGTTTTTTAACCCATTCAAATGAACTGATCCGTGCGCCCGAAAACGTGAACGAAAAATGCGGACATACAAAACACACACACACACATACATACACGCACACATTCATATTTTCTGAGGTATGCCAAAATGTTCAGAAACCTTCAAAACGTAGAAAAATGCTAAAATTTTCATTTTAGATTTCCGCCCATTACTATAACTACCCTACGGGAAGTTAATGTGTAATAAAAATTTAAGTCCATCCAAATCTATTTCTGTTACCTTGACCATTGCATTTTCCCATCCGCCCATCTCAATAGTCCAATGTATCGTCGGAATTACTCCATAACCAGCCCAAATAACAAAAGTCAACATTTTGATGGCATCCGAACATTCAAATCTTGGCAATTGGACGCCCATTGCAACGCAGAAAAAGATGGTCACGGTTACCATGTAGAAGAACTTCAGAGCCTGGTAAATAAAAATTGTTGTAAAATGATTGTTATATGGTGTTGGTCTATTATATTTACCGGAAAGCACCAGAAGGCATAGTATATTCCTGAGATGTAGATGGCGAAAAGACTTAAGGAGATGCCAAATAGGTCGTATGCCAGGAAACTTCTGTAGTCGTGTTCTGATCGACAGGAGAACGTGTGGTACATTGATGATAGGATCATGCAAGCCTGGAAAAAAATAAAACTAGTTGGTATTTTGCCTTGAGGCAAGTTACATGAAATTCCCGACATGTGCAAATAATCGACTTAATCAATAAAAAATAAATTAATTTGTGAGTGATTAAAAGTATTATGAGTGGATTTATTACACATAATTGAAAACGAACGTACACCTTAACTTTCGGAGTATTTTCTAAAAGCAAATTTTCAAAAATCAACAGTTTTTTAATTGAATCAGTTTTCGCAGGACTCTAATGGTAGATATGTTCATTAAGACTATCGTTATACCAAGTAAATAGTCTAATTTTAATTTTAACAAACGTCAAAAAAACTACTCATTTTGCCAAATTTTGATGAATTCTTAAAATAAAATTACTTGTGGTAAGGTCGCAATATTTCAGTAAGTTCTATAAGACCATGATATGTATTGCCAAAAAAGTTCCATAAAAATCGGCTCGGTAGATTTTCACCTAAAATCAATCAGTATCATTTCTAATATCTTTCGAAAAGTTTTTGATGTTTTGAAAATCGATTTGGTAGCATGAGCTTAAATGTGGACGAAAAGTTTAACACTTTTTTCCAAATTACAAAGAAACCGCTTGGCAGATCGTCTCACAAAACTGACAAACGATAGTCCTCATTCAGATATATCAAATGGCTTTTAACTTTCTGAAATCGGTTCAGGCGTTTTTGAGAAAATGTTGATGAAAGGTCTAATTTTGACAAACGCCAAAAAAACGATACCAATTTTTGCAAACTTTGAAGAATGTTTAAAATTAAACGACTTGTCGTCGGGCCGTAATATTTTAGTATGATCTATAAGACTATGGTATCTACCGTCAAAAAAAATCGTAACAATCGTCGAAAAATTTTTTTCAACACTTTATTACAAGAAAACGGCCCGGCCGATCTTTACCAAAAACTAACCAGCACAATTCCAAACCAATATTTTTCCTACGGTTCTTGAAGTTTCAAAATCGATTCAGAATTGCGGGCTAAAACGTGGACGAAAATATTTCCACTTCTCTGCTATTTATAATGAAACGGCTTGGCTGATCGTCGCGCAAAATTGATAAAAGCTATAGTCCTCATTGAGATACATCGAACGGCTTTTAAATTTTTGAAATCGTTCTAGCCGTTTTTGAGAAAACGTCGCTTTACGGCAAAAAATCTGTTCACACACACACACACACACACATACTTTTTCCAAATTTGATCTAATTCGATTCAGAATGGCTTGAAACGTCGAAAAAATATAAAATTAGCGAATCGGATTTTTTGATGAAAATATAAACTTCTCCTTCGGGAAGTTAAAAAATGACAATGATACACAGAGCTACATAGATGAAACTTTCTTTGCTCACCAACTTAGTCGTTTTAATGGCACCCAACTAGCAGGACACATTTTAGCAAAAAAAATACCAGTTATCAATGTTGTAATTTAAAATGACAATAGTTATGATATAAGAACTGTAGTTTTTTATCCTATTACCTGAAAACATCCCAAAAGTGCTCCAACAATCAATTTATCAAACCATCCAGCCTGTATTTGCAGAAGCGCCAAATCGGTGACCGTCAAACCCAAAAACAAAAGATATCCGAAAAGATGTGACCAAATATTGATGGTTTCGTTCGTCCACCAGAATACTGATTCTAGGCACATCTGGGTAGACAGAATGCCTCTATAGCCTGATCTTATGAACGGATTGAACCTGGTAATAGAAATAGCAATAAAAAATTGTTTTGGATAAAGATATATCTTTTATATCCTACCTGAGATGTGCTGGTGCCTCGTCATAATCATACAACTGTCTACATTTATCGTATTCCTCCTGAGTGCTCAATATTGCCGCTTTTGTGGACGCCGTTTGGGAGTTGTATCTTTGTTTTTCTGAATCCATTTCGCCGTTTTTTGGTAACGACAATCCGTTATTTGGAGGCGAACAACTGTTGCTCGATCCGTTGTTGAAAGATCCATTGGTAAGGGATCCGTTTGATCTGTCTGATGGTTGCTGGAAGGGAAAAAATGGAATCAAAATTATTTTTTGTACGAGAAATAATAAATATGAAAAATATTTGTTTTTTGTACGAGAAATGATTAGAAATTTTTGAATGCTTGAAAGGAAAAATTATAAGAAAAATTTAGATAAATAAACGTGGATATTAAAAACTGAGCAATCAATTAAACTAATGTTACGAGATGACACACCGATTTTGCAATTAATTTATAAATAATATTGTTATGAACGTGATAAATTGCTATTTACAGAGTTGTAGATAATTTTATAAGCTTTTTAACGATATATAATAATATATATGTTGTTTAACAAATTTTAGCTATATAAACAAAAATTTAAAAAATAATGTAACCAAAGAAATCCGCTAAATTTCAAATTTCCCACGTTTTTTTTCATAATTTTGTTAAAAAAGTTATTAAACGTTATATACAGATTTATAGATAATTTTCTAACCTTTTCAACAGTATATAACGTTATTGTTATATTTAAAATATTTTTAATAAATTAAATGATTTTGTAAAAAAAATTGACATTGATATCTGAGAATAGGAACGAGCATTAGATTGAATTTTTAGCAGAATTGCAGACGTCATTTATTTATTATTATCTATTCCAAACTTTTTTCTATATTTAAACTTCAAATTTTTTAAATAAATTTAACCATTTTGGGAACTACGATATGATGTAGATAGATCTTAAGGATCTGCTTTCAGGCAGATTTATGGATTAGATGAAAAGAACTAAATTAGCAAAAATTGATATAAAAAATGAAACTTATTGTTGTCTTTGTACAAATACACATACAAATGTGCTTTATCCTGTTGTAGTTTTTTGCACATTATTGTGCCTAAATTCATAGCATTCTTTAAAGCACTCATTATGTAACTGCGATTATATTTCTTAAAATTTATGTTTGTATAGCTAAAACTTGTTGAACAACATATATATTATTATATATCGTTAAAAAGCTTATAAAATCATGTATACATCTGTATATGACGTTTTATAACTTTTTTAACAAAATTATGCAAAAATAACGCGGGAAATGTAAAATTTAGTTAGTCGTTAGTGGATTTCTTTGGTTAAATTTTTTGATTTTTTTTGGTTAAATGATTATCTAGCTAAACTTTTTTAAACAACATATATATTATTATATATCGTTAAAAAGCTTATAAAATCATGTATAAATCTGTATATAACGTTTTATAACTTTTTTAACAAAATTATGCAAAAATAACGCGGGAAATGTAAAATTTAGTTAGTCGTTAGTGGATTTCTTTGGTTAAATTTTTTGTTTTTTTTTGGTTAAATGATTATCTAGCTAAACTTTGTTAAACAACATATATATTATTATATATCGTTAAAAAGCTTATAAAATTATGTAAAAATCTGTATATAACGTTTTATAACTTTTTTAACAAAATTATGCTAAATAACGCGGGAAATGTAAAATTTAGTTAGTCGTTAGTGGATTTCTTTGGTTAAATTTTTTGGTTTTCTTTGGTTAAATGTTTATCTAGCTAAAATTTGTTAAACTACATATATATTATTATATATCGTTGAAAAGCTTATAAAATTATCTACAACTCTGTAAATAGCAATTTATCAAGTTCGTAACAAAATTATTTATAAATTAATTGCAAAATTGGTGTGTCATTTTATGAAATCTCATAATATTAGTTTAATTGGTTGCTCAGTTTTTAGTATCCACGTCTGATTTATTATACATATTTTAAATATAACAATAACGTTATATACTGTTGAAAAGGTTAAAAAATTATCTATGAATCTGCATATAACGTATCATAACAATTTTAACAAAATTATGCAAAAATAACGCGGAACATTTAAAATTTAGTTAGTCATTAATTTCTTTGGTTACATTTTTTAAATTTTATATTTAAATTAAATTATTTTGCCTTGAAAAAAGTGAATTGTTAGAAAAATATGCGAACAATGAAAATAATATAATAATCACATTTTTGCGACACGAATTAAATTCTCTTATAATTGAACAAATACAATTTACAAGAATTATTTTTGTCAGAGTAACAAAAAATGTTTTTGGATTATTTAAATTGTATGTTTCATAAAAATCTAGAAAAAATGATGATAAAAAACCTTTTTATCTAAATTGGCTATTGTTTACAGAATTTAGAACTAAAATTATATGTATATATTAAAATTTAATCAAATTGGGTTATCTGGTACCTGGTTTTGGTAAAAACTGGTTTATTGGACTAGATTAAAAATTAAGTACTCATTCTTAACATTTTACTTATATTTGCAAAAAAAAATAATTTAGCTCATGAAATTTTTAATATAATAAAATATAGATAGAAAAAAAATATAGATAGAATAAACAAATTTATAAAAAATATTTTTATCAACAAAGTCTAAAAATGTCTCTGCGATACATCGATATCCAAAAATTTTAAAATTAAAAAATAATCAAAACAATTTTTGATTTGAAATCAATATTTTATTTAATGTTGAGATATTTTAAAGTCCATAAATTTTTCCGTACCATAATAAAATTCCAATATATCATTATTTATATATTTTGATAAGTTTAATCAATTCTTGAATTTAATAATAAAATGCTTCGATATTTTATTGTTTGTATATTTTTAATAGGTACACATGATTACAATAAAAAAAATTATTTATCAATCACAATTCTTGAGATAATTTTAAGTGCTGTCGAATTTGGAATAACTCAATTCAATAAAAAAAATATTAGTTTGAAACATTTTTGTTAAATATCGAAAATGATTCGGATTTTAATTTTAATTCTAGCTAAAATCCAAAAGCTCATACTTGAATTAAATAATTTTAACTTTGCACTTCAATTTATATAATTCTTAGAAATATGAAATGAGATCGTTTAAATTCAACTTGACTCGATTAAGTTTTGTTTATTTACTTTTTATGTGAACATACACAAACATCGTCGCCTAATTTATATGCTCTTATATTTTGGCTATAAAATACAAATAATAAATATTACATCATTTACAATAATCCATTTGGAAACATTTAAAATTCCTCGAATATTTCATTTCGGTACGGGAAGTTCCAGCAATTTGCCCTAAGTTATAGTATCTAAATACTGTTATAATAGTGTAAATAGAAGAAAGAATGCAGCAGTTACAAAACTAATATTTTTTTCAATATAATATTTACATAATGTGCAATGTGTAATGAATTACATAAATAAGTGACCTTTTTATTTTAGCAAAATTGCCAAACTGAACGCTTTCTCTATTTTTTCTTTTGAGACATCATAATAATATTTATCTAACCGGATAGAATACAAGATTATACAATTATATATAAATATATATATATATATATATATATATATATATATATTTGGTTTGTTGCAAAATTATTTTGCAATGCGAAATATTTCTGAAATTTGTGTACGGAAGTATCGCCATTGGCGTATAGTTTTTTTATGAAAAGTTTTGACAAAAACTATACAAATTATATATAATGCTTATTTTAATAACAGAAATTATTCATAGTTCAAATTATAATTACAAATATTATACAACATATTATCATAGCTAAAATATTCACAAAAATTATCAAAAAAAAAAGATTATTCTAGATAAAGCAAAATCTGAGAAAATTACCTTATAAAAAGGTCAGAGGTAGGTTTCTCAAAATTTGGTATTTTAAAAGGTATTTTTTCCAAATTTAATTTTGCAATTTGTGGGAATATGAAAAAATACAAAATGCAACATTTAATAGAGTATGATTTTTTTTTGCATAAATATTGAAAAATGTCATATTGTGTTAAACTAGTGGCCTTGTTAGCCAGGAAATTGTTTTAAAATACTGCCATTTTTTGAAAACTAAATTTTTTTTTGAAAATTTGGAATTTTTTTGAAAATCGATTTTTTCAAAATATTTTTTTTCGAAAATTTTGAAATTTCTTGAAAGTTTTTGATACTTTTGACCGCAAAATTGCTTTTTTTTTTTAACTTTTTTGCTGATTCTCCGAAACAAAAATTTACTCAATTCTTCATTACGTCAATACAAGTGAAATATTTCAATATTTTCAAAAACTGACCTGCTATTGTCTTTTTGCTCTTTATTTTCGAAACGGATAGACATACCTTTGCCAAAAACTAATCAGCATGTCTCCCAATTAATACAAATCAAATGTTTTTTTTGAATCATTCAAATCGGTTGATCCGTGATCTCGAAAATCAAAGACAAAAAATTATATCCACACATACAAATACACACTCACACGTACACGTATCCATTTTTGCTATGGTATGCCAAAACCTCTGAAACGTAAAAATTAATAAACAATTTCAATTTCGATTTTTGGACGATTACTATAACTTTGCCTAATTTAAGATTGATAATAATTATTTTAT